ATCACCTCTCGCCAACTGTTATCCTTGATTTCATTTAGGCCTTCCACCAGAGACTATAATGGAGCGTGGTAAAATACAAAGGCATTTAGGACAAGACAAATAACAAAGTGTAGATGAAGAACCGGCTAATTTTCGAGTATATATAAAGCCCCTGCTGATTCATAATTGAGTAGTATGATTATTATGTAAATATGGTGCGATATATTTTGATTTATTTTAATCTATAAATAAGACAACTACAATTAAAAGCACTTTCGGGTTCAGCTTTTGGTGCTGGTGCTTACATTTTCTTGTAAGTATGATGCTTTATTTCGTGAAAGAAACTTGATGTCAATGGACCCATCATGATTGTCGATTATCGAGTTTTACGCAAATCTGCATGGTAAATTTAGAAAATTGGGGCCGGCATGATGGTAATCAATCCACCAACCAATCCAGGCGGGAGCAGTCTTTTAAGAGTTCTGTAAGCAGCCATTTGAAACCACAGTTTAGTGAAGTGTCAGAATGACCGATAAGCTATTTAGGTAGTTTCCCCAAAACTCACAGGAAAAAACGAAGGCAGAGGAATGTGAGACTAGCCCTCATACAACTTTGTTCCGGATAACATGTAGAATTAGCAACTACGGCAAATGTCGGCTTGAAGCCGCGAGTGAGTTTTGGAGTAGGCGAATCGTTAATACCCTCTGTAAATCGTTCACAAATTGTCGTGTCATTAAGCTGAAGTCAAAAGGCATCTTCTTTCAATTGATCCCAAGTTAACACGTCCAGTGTGCTAGTACCATAGTGGTGTGCAAACCCCTGGTTTCAAAAGGAAGCGAGTCCCTGAAGACCGTCACTGACATGTCGACTACATGACAACTCGCCGTTAAAGCGATCACAATTTATTTGACTAAAAGGTAGTGTCTTCACGCCGAAAGACTGAAGAATGCTTAATCAGTATTCAGACAAACAAAGCAATAGTATCCCCATTGAAATGTAAGTTCTACGTATTAGATATAAATTAATTATATTTTTCAATGCTGTCTCTCGAAATAGACACGATGGCAAGAACCAAGACTTTG